CAGTGCATTTACATTATAGTATTATGTGCATTTCAGAGACAACAAAGAAACAACAGAGACAACTAGGCAATGTAGAGAGCAGATTCAAGGATGGTTAAGAGCCAACAAGGGCTGTTCAGCAGCTAAGTTCAAGTTTCTGAACTCTGCCCGTGGGCTGTTAAAAGTATTCTTCCTCCTGTCCCCTCTGGTGCTGCTTCTGTTTTTGTAACAAGCTGTTGCTACTTGCAAGAAGCTGAAGTTAGAGCTGGGGTGTGAAGGCTTCCAGGGAGGTGGACTCCTGGGCATCTTGTGCTAGTGTGGCTTCTCAGAGGTAGGGTCCCACCCTGTAGCTCAGTGTAACCGTGGCCCTACGTTTAGAGTTCTGAGTTTGGCCCTACATTTTCCTGCCGCCCTAGCTGGGCTGTACAGTGAAAGTAAGACTGGACACTGGCGAGCAATGATTAAGCGTGGGCACTAGAGCTAGACTGCTTGAGTCCAAATCTCATCCTGCCGCTTGCGTGTAAACTTGGGGAGGTTACCGAGCCTCGCCATGCCTGTTCCCTGAGCTATAAAATAAAGTGGGGATCATGATAGTACTTACCTCATAGAGGTAAGGAAGAAATGAGTGAACTCATTTAAGGTGCTTAGAACAGTGTCTGTCCTATAGTCGTTGATGTTAGTTATTATATTCTATACACACAGCCTATTCGTTAAAACAATAAGCGCGAGCCTGCTGCGTGCCTGGCCCTGTGCCACACGCTGGCGTATGGTGGAGAAGACGCCCAGATGGGGTTGCTTGGCTTGTGGTGGGCCTGGGAGGAGGGCGCACGGAGATGTAGGTGAACATGCAGCCTCCAGTGTGATGGCGCGGTGAAGGGCTGCCTTCCTAGACATGGGCTGTGGCAAGCAGGCAGTGTTGCCGGTAAGAGGGAGGTAGGTGTAGATGATTGCCATTGCCACCATCTTTGTCATCATCGCTGAGGTTTACTAAGCTCTTGTAGTGCGCCTGGCATTCGGCTAAGCATTGTACATGGTTTACCTCATTTAGTCCTGACAGTCCCACAAGGAGGCAGGTGTCCTTAGTTTGTTAGACAGTCTTTGAGCTGAAAGAGGAACCTGAGCAGTTGTCTCCTGTCGTCACCCTCAGTCTGTGGCTGAGGGAACCAAGTCCTGGGGAGGGGCAGTGGTTTGCTTAGTCATTCCGTACAGAGTTGGGAATGCAGGAGCCTACTCTGCCCTTTCTCCCCGTAGCCACCCAGGTGGATGCCCTCGAAGGCGAACACCGTCTTGTCCCTGAGAACCGAGTGACACCACCTGCCATCATAAGAACGTTTTCTTAAATCTTAGTAGCTCTTCCCGCAGAAGTCTTGTTGCCGTGGCTCAGGACAGATCGTCTTCCCTTTCTCTTTCGCTTTGGCTGTTCTCTTGAACGTGGAATGTGGAGGCTCGAGTTGCCAGAAAGTCACGGAATTCCAGTGACTCATGTTCCCCGGCCTTTCCTCGCCTCTGGTTAGCTGGACTGTCCTGGCTTGGGGTTCTCCTTTCTGGGGTTGCTGACAGGGCTGGTGGAGTGGCTAAGGGAGCGTTAACTGGGACTTGGAGCCACAGCTCAAAGTCACTGGTTCCTGTAAAGGGGAAGAGCTGCCTGAGTCAGGTGTCTTGCCGGTACCTCTCAGATTGGAAGGAGTAATGCCTCCTTGGGCTTGTCTTCATTGGCTTCTGCATGTTTCATTTTTCTTGCATGTAAGTGGTCTTTTAAGCAAAAATCAGATGTGTAGAAGTGGATACATGTGCATCTAAAATTGGGTAGATGATGATTCTGCCACTTTGTGAGGCCTAGAATTTTGCTCTTTGTCAGATTAATGTGTCTGATGTTGCAGGAGCTTGTTGGGGCTTCAGGAGATGGCTTCTTGGTGATTTTGGTGCCACTTTGGCTCAGAGTGTTCTGTCTGGAGCACTTACTGCTCTTTTGCTCTAGAAGCCTCCATTTACCCCTTGCTGGATCAGCAGGTCTCAGCTCACATCTCCCCTCCCCAGTGGGGCCTCTTCCGAGCACCCTACCTGTGGCATCTGCGACTCGCACCCTGTTTATTTCCTTCACAGCGCGGCGGCAGTCTATAATTACGCTGTTTACCTGCTTAGTGGGACGAACTCACCACGAGGATAGGGACTGCTGCTGTCTTGTATTCCACTGCCTAAAACAGCCTAACACAGAGTGGTTGAGTGTTATATCTTTGCTAAATGAATAGAGATGTCTCTGAGTTTCCTCATCTGGCTGCAAACATTTTTCTTCTCTTAGAGGCCTTGGAGTTGCAGAAAAATCCTCTGTGGGCTCCACATAAGTCAGAAGCAGGAATGATGCACTCAGTAAATTGGATCCTCGTTAGCAGGCCAGTGCCAACCTGCTCCCAGCCCCCTTTCCCACCATCTCCATGGGGAAATAGGAAGGAAGAGATGCCTGTGACAGTGTGTCTCAAGTGTGGTTGAGACGTGGGCTTTGGAGGCAGCTTGTCCTGGGCTCGAATCCCAGCTCTGTCACTTTCTGCAACATTTTACAAGTTAACCTCCCTGGGTCTAAGTTTTTTTTGTCTGTAAATGGGAGATAAAAATAGAACCTCACTGACTCAGTGATGTAGTGGGACAGCAGAGATTATTATGTGTATTATGATATTTACATTATTTTTCACTTTGAAAATAATTAATATAGGACAATAAAAATTTCCTAAATGGAGGGGGGAAAAAATCATGCATTATCCCATTGCTTAACTCAAGTATTTTCATTTAGGTATCTTCCCATCTAATCTTTGTCTATAGGTATATACAGTCTAGACAGGATGCACCAAGATTGTATCATGCTATTATTATTTTTCATTATATGGTGAGCAGTTTTCCATATGACTGCGTAGCCTTCCCAGTTATATATGTTGGATGTGCTATACTTGGATTATCCCACATCTTAACCTTGGGCAGCAATGTTACTGCCACTGCCCCCCCCCCCCC